GGCTCCCAGGGTAAGTATCTTATTTTCCTGTCCTGGGCAGGAAAGGCGGCTGTGGGAGTAGCGCTGATTCCCGGAGAGCAGAATGCCCCTGGCCGAGCAGGAGCCTTGATTTCCCTTCCAGAGAAAAGGGCTTTTTGGGGCGGGAAGCGGCTCGGCTGGGCAGAGCGAAGGCTGCTGAGGTCTGGCAGAAGGAGCCAGAGTTCTGGGAAGGTCTCGCACGGATGTACCAGGGTCTAGACCAGTCCTTCCACCTGCAATCACCATTTGCATGCCGTAGAGGCAGGATGGGAGTGGCGGGGGCCGGGAGGCACCCCGGAGTTTCCCGGGAGCTGACCCCACGCTCCCGGCCGCAGCAATCCTCTTTGCGAGAGCCGCTCAGCCGCCGCGGATCAGCCTGGGCGGGCGAGCCGGCTTCCCCCTCCTGCTGCCCTCCCGAGCCCTCGCTCCCCTCCGAGGGACTGCTGCATCTTGGAATATTTGCCACCCGTGTTATTTCACCCGTCCCCCTCCGTTAAAAGCTGAGGAGGGGTAAATGGGAAAGGACAGAACCCYGAATAGCTGGAAGCTGCTTTGCTCTGCCCTCGGCGGGGCAAGGAGAGCACGGATCCGCCGGGAAGGAAGCCGTGCTCCGAGAGAAGCAGCAACACGACCCTCTGGGAATGGACCCGGCAGGGACACTGCCCGGGATGTCCCGTGGCCCATCTCCAAACTGGCCAGTGCCAGGGGAGGGCAGGGTCGCCAGGACGCCTGGGCCCCTTCGCTCGCAATTGAGGCCGCTCGTTTACAGCAGCGAGCAAATTCACTTTTCCCAGACTTGCGAGAGGCCTAATTACCCCTTATTAGAAGGATGTTGGGAAGTTTAATTAACGCTTTCCCAGGGCTCCTGCTGCCGTCTGTCTAAGAATACTTCGCCCGCGCCACGCGTTACATAAGGAGTGACTTAATGCTCACAAGGACTGGTTCAATTAAGCCTAGCGCCCATTTTAGAGAGGAGGATGCTCAAGCAGAAAGGGGAACGCACTGCATAAATAAATAATTAAGTGAATAGCTAATTATTCCATATATTCATACGCTGCCCTGTGCCCTACCCCAGCAGGCTTCAGCGGGAGCTTTGGGACATCGCCAGGGTCCCATGTAGGTGTGAGTGGAAGGTGGGACAGGAGGCCCCTTGCGCAATGTGCCACCCTGGGCTGACCCACTTGGAGCCAAACCGATGGGGACGCGGTGTCACCTGCGGCGGTTCGGTGCCTCCTTGCGCCCCGGTGCTTCCTCCTGTTCCCTCTGCTTCCCAGGGCCTCTGGCCGGCGGATGTCCAAGGTGGTCCGGGATTTCCTCTACGCCCAGAAAGTGCAGGCGCCCATTGAAGTCTACTCGGAGTGGCTCAGCGTGGGCCACGTGGATGAATTCCTGACGTTCGTGCCCGCTTTCGATAGGAAGGTACTGGCCGCCCTACTGCTCCTCCGCGCGGTGGTCCTGCGTGGAGAACCTTCTTCTGCAAAGACCAAAAGCCATCGTGGGGGAAGCGGGGCACCACGAAAGGGCACACGTGGCTTCATGTTGCATGCTGAAGCAGTTGTGGGAATGGTGCCTGGTTCCCCCTGCCTGTCATTTGGAGCGCTCTTCAGGTGGCCAGGTGCTCAATTCACCTTCTTCTGGGGCCGTTCTCCAGGAAACATCAGTCTCTTGGGGGCAACCTGTGGAGCTCGGAAGTTATGGGGTTGGATTTGCTGCTGATCAGTGCTGTGACACTGAAGTGTCTTGTCTAAGTCCACGCCACCATGAAATAACATCTCTAGCACCTCCAAGCCCACCATGGCCAAGCTTTAACCACCTCCGCTCTCTCMCTCCAGGGTTTCCGTCTCCTCTTGGCCAGTCCCAACGCCTGCTACAAGCTCTTCAAGGAGAAGCAGAAGCAGGGTTACGGCGATGCCACCCAGTTTGTGGGTAAGAAGTCCACCTAAGGTGTCTGCAAGAGCTGCAGGGGGCCACCATGGACCCTCACCACCACGTTCCTCCCCACGCAGGGCTGAAGAGCATGGAGAGGATCAGCATCGACGAGCTCCTGGCGGATGAGGAACTACAGAACGACAACAGGCACGCGCAGGTGGGCGCCGGGGAGGCCACCAAGGGCTGTGTGGCACCAACAAACCTGTTACTGCTTCTCCTTCCCCATAGTAAGGCCACACAAGGCCATGTGTGTAGTATGGCCATGTGTGTAGTATGGCCATGTGTGTAGTATGGCCATGCTTGTCCACGGCAAGTTAGCCAAGGCCACGACAGCTCAGAGCAGGTCAAAGGGATGGTCTAAGCAGGGGGCAGGTGCTCCTCTTCTGGGGCTCTGCAGCATTTAGGAAGAGAGATGGGTGGCATCTGCATTGGCTCGGGCTGGAGGGAGGGTGCGCGGCCTCCCGTGAGCACCGCTAAGCTGAGGCAAGGCCACCCTCAGAAAAACGTGAGCCAGCAGATGCCGTGCCCGCCGTGCCAAGGCTGTCAAAAGGCCTTGCATTTGCTCCATCAACGCCCTCCCTGAGGAACCTCTTCCACTCACACGTTGCTAACAGATGATGGGTGCCCGGATCATTTTTAATGAAGCGGATAATTATCCCGGGCAGGAGCGTGAGCAAACCTGCCAAGAATAGCWCTGGCAGGTGCTGGAGGAGAGCACGTGTGCGAGGGAGAGCCATTAGAGGGGTGCCAGGCGCCGCCTGGGACCAGCTCCTCCGAGCGCATGTGGGTGCGGGCTTTGGGAGATGCCCCGCGTGCCTCCGGAGGCACCGGAGATCAAAGGGAAGAGGCAGCGCGGGCTGGATGCAGGAGGCAGCACAAAAGCTCTGCTCTTTGAAGCCACGTGCGGCCAAAAGGATGGGCACAGGCAGCAACGTGGGGCAGCAGGAGGTATGGATGGACATCCTAACGTSGCTCCTCACGCACCTCCCTCCTTCTCCCCAGCGCTGCATCGACTGGAACCGAGACCTCCTCAAGCAGGAGCTGGGCCTGAACGAGCAGGACATCATCGACATCCCCCAGCTCTTCGTGCTCAAGGAGGCCCGTGCGGACGCYCTCTTCCCGGACATGGTGAGGACAGAATCACAGAATCTTCAAGGTTGGAAGGGACCTCTAGAGATCATCTAGTCCAACCTTCCTGCTCCAGCAGGCACACCTAGAGCATGTGGCACAGGGTGGCATCCAGGTGGGTTTGGAGACCTCCAGAGAAGGAGACTCCATAACCTCCCTGGGCAGCCTGTTCCACTGCTCTGTCACCCTCACAGTAAGGAAGCTCCTCCTCACCTGGAGACGGAACTTCCTGTGTTTCAGCTTATGACCATTACCCCTCGTCCTATCGCTGGCCACCAGTGAAAAGAGCCTGTCCCCTTCCTCCCTGCATTCTCCCCTCCTGAACTTATACATGTTAATCATATCGCCTCTGAGCCTTCTCTTCTTCAGAGAAAACAGGCCCAGTTCACTCAGCCTCTCATTGTACGAGAGATGTTCCATTCCCTTAATCATCCTGGTTGCCCTTCTCTGGACCCTCTCGAGAAGCTCCATGTCCCTCTTATACTGGGGAGCCCAGAACTGCCCCCAATGCTCCAGGTGCGGCCTAACCAGAGCTGAGGAGAGGGGCAGAATCACCTCCCTTGACCTGCTGGCAACACTCCTCCTGATGCAGGCCAGGATSCCATTGGCCTTCTTGGCCACGAGGGCACACTGCTCACTCATGGTTAACTTAGTGTCAACCAGGACTCCCAGGTCCCTCTCCGTGGAGCTGCTTTCCAGCAGGTCGACCCCTAATCTGTACTGGTGCCTCCAGTATTCCTCCCCAGGTGCAGGACCTTGCACTTGTCCTTATTGAACCTCATGAGGTTCCTCTCTGCCCAACTCWCCAGCCTGTCCAGGACCCGGTGGAAGTGGCCACGCTCCTCTCCACGCTGAGCCTCTATCTCAGGCAGACCCTTCCCTCCCTTCAGCTTCTTCTCTCCCTCTCCTCTTTCTCCACCCACCCCATCTCTGCTCCTTGGCGGCTCTCGATGGCTTCACGATGCTGCCAAGTGAAAGCCAATGCCAGGTGGCTTCCTGGTGCAGAGGAGAAGCTCCTGGCTCCCCCGGGCCCGTTCCACAGCCTGTCCCGTCCCCCCCGCAGGTGAACATGCTGGTGCTGGGGAGGCACCTGGGCATCCCCAAGCCCTTCGGGCCCGTCATCCGCGGCCAGTGCTGCCTGGAGGAGAAGGTGCGCTCCTTGCTGGAGCCCCTGGGCCTCAGCTGCACCTTCATCGACGACTTCTTCTCCTACCACGCGCTGGCCGGCGAYGTGCACTGCGGCACCAACGTGCGCCGCAAGCCCTTCGCCTTCAAGTGGTGGCACATGGTGCCCTGAGGCTGCTCGGGGCACGGAGGCCTTGGGTGCTCTGCTCTTCCCAAAGAGGCGCCCACGGAGCCAGGTGGAAGCCGGTCACGCTCGGCGGTTTCGGCAATAAAGCGGCCCTTGTCTCCCGTGGCTTTGGGTCTTCTTCTCCAGCAAGCGGCAAGACCCCTATCCGTCCCTCTGAGCCCAACACAAGTTGAAAAAAGTCAATGTACATATATGTATATTTTATATGTATGCATGTGTATATGAATATGCATATTTTCAGGCTTTGAGGAGCTCGCTCCAGCCTGGGCCCTGTGGAAAAACCCGGCATTTCGCACGGCGTGCACGGCACGTGTGTCGCCAGGGGAGAGGTGCATCCGCAAGCAGCTCCTCTCCGCCAGAAAAGGCATTTATGGAAAAGCTGGGATGGGTGAAGCCAGGCTCTGCTGCCGGGCATGGTGCAGGGGCCCGCGGGAAGCTGCTTCCCCCGCTTTGCCGGGGGCGATGGGCACTTCTGCGGCGGGCGCTGAGCCGCCCGCACGTGCCGGCGCCGGTGGCAGCGAGCCCGGGGGTGGGATGAGCCCRGGCGCCGGCTTAATCCCCTCCCCGGGCCTAGATAAGGGCGCGCGCGGGGCGGCGCGGCGCCCGCGGCACCATGGCCCAGCAGCGGCTGGTGCAGCTCTCGGCGCAGCGCCCCGCCAGCACCGTGTGCGTGCTGGGCACCGAGCTCGCCCTCGACGTGGCCGGGTAAGGCGCCCGCCGGGGCCCTCCCCATGCCCGCGCCCGGCCCGCAGCAGGGAGAGCCGCCGGGAAGGGGCTCGCGCGGCGCTTGCGAGGCTTTACGGGGGCTGCTGAATGCGGAGCGGGGAAGAGGGCGGAGAAGGAAAAGCAGCTTTGGGGATGCAAAGTTTTTCTCCATCTATTCCAGTATTTCTTTCCAATTTTATTCCAAAAAATCGAGGGGCCTGGCGGGCTGCTGCCTCCCTCTCCTCGCACCCCGTGCGGAGCGGGGCCGTGCTGGGGGTGGCGGAGCAGAGCCGCTTTTCCCTCTCGCTYGGGAAAAGCCGCGGGGACGCTTCCTTGCGCCGGCTTGACCGAGGTTTCGGGGCTGGGTTCATTGCCCCGGCTGCAGGGAGCGGTGCAGCCTTTCTGGCCGGGCGGGCGCGCGGGGGCATCTCCGGGCAGGTCGGCGCCGGGC